AACCAAAGTTACACTGCAATTTCAACAAATGAAGAATTTTTTCACAGATAGCAAAAAACAGAAAACAGCATTCTTGAGCCTGGTTCCCAAGTCGGCGACTATCCGGCTTCTTACGTTTCTGCATTCATTGTGTTCACACTTGTCATGAGAGTCACCGACTTACATGCTTCGTGGCGCGCCAACAAAAGCTTAAAAAAGTGCGGCAATCCAGAAATCATTCAAAGCTCCAAGATGGCAGCTGCAAAAATTCGAATGATACTACATGGCAGACTTCTGATGCTGATTGCCATCATCCATTTGCGGATAGCCCTCAGCAAAGAGAAGAAAAAAACGAAAAGAAAACGGAAATTTTGGGTACGACCTCATTTGAAGGAGAGAAAGAACCACGGGCAAATCCATACACTGTTCAGCGAACTTAAAATGTTTGACAGGGAATATTTTTTCAGGTATTAGGCCAAGTTTATGCATGATATTTTTATGACTTTTTAGTTCATTTTGCAACAAAGTTTTGAATTTCGGAACTTAAATTCCCTGTATACCTAATAATATCCTATTGATGAAAGGCACAGGAAATTTAAACGAAAGATATGAAATGTGCTGACGTGGCGGAAGGCACGGGGATTAGGTGTGGGTAGCTCTATTATAGACCCAACATAGATTTGTTGGATAAACCGAACAAAAACCATTAAATTGCTTGAATTATTTCAGCCATTCTACCATATTAATAATTGTAAAAAACATTGTTCAAATGCACAGTTTCACGAATAATAGATTCAATTCAAACCCTGTAAATTATTCTACTGCTCTCTGTATTGAAACACCTAGCTTTCACTTCCAGGGCATATAACTTTAAGCTTAACTTTCCATTTCAGACTTATCCGAATGAGTCCTGAAAGATATGAGCATTTACTTCAACTTGTAACTCCATATATACAAAAAGAAGATACCAGGATGAGAGAGACAATATATCCATCTGAGAGGCTTGTCTAAACATTGAGACATTTAGCTAAACATTGAGACATTTAGCTACTGGTGAAACCCAACAGTCACTTTCATTTAGTTTTTGTTTGGGTAGGAGCACAGTTTGCAAAATAGTCCACGACACATGCATTGGGCTGTGGAAAGCTCTAAGAGGTGACTACTTAAAAGCCCCAAAAGGCACACAGGATTGGAAAAACATTGTCAATGAAATAAATGAAGAGTGGAATTTCCCAAATTGCTTGGGAGCTTTGGATGGAAAACATGTTATGATTGAGTGTCCTGCTAATGGAGACTCTGAATTTTTCAATTATAAGGGGTTCCATAGCATTGTTATCCTTGCTCTTTGTGATGGAAAGTACTGTTTCACAATGGTTGATGTTGGGAACTTTGGCGGAGAAAATGATGCAACTGTTTTCAATAACTCAGTTATTGGCCACGGATTTGCAGCAAATGCATTTAATATTCCAAAATCTTCTTTAGTTCATGGGCATCAATTGCCATATGTCATTGTAGCAGATGAAATATTTGCTTTAAAACCATACTTGCTAAAGCCATATCCTGGAAATAGTTTGAATAGTTCAAGAAGAATTTTTAATCATAGACTCAGTCGTTGTCGAAGGATAATAGAGAATGCTTTTGGCATCTTATCTGCAAGGTGGAGAATTTTTAGAGGTCCTATAAAATCTAAGCCAAAATATGTTGATAGCATCATAAAAGCATGCTTGTGCCTGCATAATTATTTGGGGATGCACCAACAATGCTCAGTATGTGCCCCATGGTTTTGTAGATTCTCAAGATTAGTCTGGGAAGTTTTTGCCAGGAGATTGGAGAAGTATTACACATAATGATGCAGGAATGCTACAGCTTCAAGGAAGCATAAACAAATATGGCAAAAATGCACAAGAAGTAAGGACAAGGTTTGAAAATTTTTTCAACAGCAAAGAAGGCTCTGTACAGTGGCAGACAAAATATGTTCAAAATTGTGGGGAAAAATTTGCTGAGGCTGTTTACAACAAAAAAGACCATTCACTTTAAACACAACTTCATCAAAAATGGGTGTTTCAAAGAATTTTTTCAAAACATTTATCATAAGGAAAACACTCATTTTAAGTCTTAAATGCAGCAGTAACCTAAAAAATAAAATATAAAATGGGAAAAACAAGCCTGTTGTTTTAAAACGTTTTTTAAACGTTTTTTGTAGTTGTTAACAATCATCCCTCTAAAAAGGAAAGAAAGTCACGTGATTGTTCAACAGGGTATGCTGCTGTAGTCCTGGCAGATGCTGGTCTGGTTAAACCTGCATGTGAGGTGGGAAATTCCATGGATTGTTGAAGTCCTCCAAACTCCAGGTCAAAAAATATATTTTCAATTTGATGCCGAACATACGCTTTGGATCTGCTATCTAAGTTGCTCAACCTTTCTGCAAGACTTAAGCAGTAATGTGTATCTGCATTCATTGTGGGTTCTTTCTCTTTTGTAGCAGTGGATTCATTCAGGGATTTCTGAAAACTGTGCATGACTTTGCATTGTTCCAGATAAGGGTCAGGTGCCTTGTTTGACCAGGGTCTTTTTAATACCTTTTTGATAATTTGTTGCTTGTTTCCTTTCCTGTTTGATGTGACTTTCTGGTTTCTAGGAAATGAACTATATATTAATTTATTATCAAAATCTTCCTAATAATAAAAAAGTCATAAGCATGGGTACATTAAGAAATTACCAAGATTCTCCAATCTCTTTATCGAAATTTGCAATTAATTAGCAGAAATAAGAAACTTTCAAGATTAATCAACAAGAAAATACAAATAAAATTGGTATCATCAGGGATGCTGGGGCAACAGGGCAAGAAGGGGGAGCTGAGAATGAAAGGGGAATCTGTGACCTAAGATGAGGCAAATCAGCTGACTAAAATGGAGGCATGCCCTTAAGCTTTTTTGCAGCCAAGCCCTAAAACTGGCTTATAATACTCCCCGAGTATCACTAATAAAACATGCCAATAGGCCCAATATTTACCTGCTGTCTGGTGGCTCTTCAATATTTTCTAACGATAAATGAGATGATCTTGTGGACTCTGCATCCTCTTCAACATCCTCATCAGTGTCACCAGTCATTGTTGCTTCTTCTGAAAAGCTTTGAGAAGTTTGGGCTGATGGTGCTGGTGATGTAGCTGCCTCAAACGTAGCTCCGTTTCCTTCTCCCAAGTCACCAAGATTTATAGAGGAAGATCTTGACTTTATGAAATTTATCAGCCAACGTAGATTTTCGATTTTTTGGACAAAGTCAGGGGTTGTGAGTTCGAGCCTTGCTCTGGTCGGTTATTTTCCCGCACTATCTATTAGATACAGCATCTAATAATTCAGAGATGAAGTCAAAGCAAACAACAACGTCGAAATCACAAATCAAACTCTAAATTTTATTTGGCAGGGAAGTCGGCGACTTCAGGAACAGCTTATGAAAACACGTTCACACTTGTCGTAAAACGGATAAGGAGCAAGACAGTCGCAGACTTCCCCGATTCTTACACAAATTAAGTGGGAACCAGGCTTTAAGCCCAATTTCCAGTGAGAAAAAATCTTGCAAAATTTCGCTGCAAAATATTTCCTGCGAAAAATTTATCGAGAAAATTTTCGCAAGTCAACCTCCAGTTCTCTGCAAAATCTCTTTTTTTGAAATACATCATTTGAATTGTTTTGCGAGGAGCTTTTGATTTTGCTTGCGTTGCATTGAGGACGAATACCTAGGCCAGTGAAAAATAGAAAAAGATTTTGGGTTTCGAAGAATATTTGCAGAAAAAAAGGATCTTTTTAGGATCATTTTCCAGTGAAAAAAGGATCTAAAAACAATCTTTTTAGGGAAACACGACTGCACGATCATTTACAAAAAAATTAAACACATTATTCATCATATTCAATATCAAAAAGTAATTGTTGTATTCTGAGGTTTGCCATTTGGTTTTTCTTTTCTGGCAATCTTTTCAGTGTAACCACAAGACTATGGCAAACAGATCGTCAGGATCATCATCATTTGGCTTTGCCTTCTTCTGGATGCTTTCAATGAGAAAACTCTCCACTGTGTCCATATCCGGTGTTCTTTATTTCGTTTTCCTGAGCTAGCCTTTCCTTGTGCAGCAGTACTAGCTTTTATGCTAATTGTTTCGAAGCTAGGTTCCTTAGGCCGAAGTTCATCTGCTTCGTAGCTGCTATTTGATATGAATGAAGAAGCAGGGGATGATTTGCGTACCAAATCTTATGGCAAGGTGATAGAGGAGATGATGATGGGAGTGGAACTTATTGTATGTTGATTTGTTATGTGATTGTATAACATCACGAAGGAACGTTAGTTGATCAATAATGGCATATTGGTTGTTCAAACAAAGCAGAGCCAGATTTTGAGAATTCTCTTTCTCTGTCCAAACACTTTTTGTAGGAATCACAGAGATTTTTCTATTTTGCTTCTATTGATTTGACTAAAAGAGATACAGAGGATAACTTACTCAAGATGATTACAAGAAATATGATAAATTGTTACTACACCCATATCTAAGAATAGGGGGGTTAGTAGACTATTCGCAAAAATGTTAAAAATA